CTTCCTTTAGGAGCTCTTATAAGGCAGGCCTCATGGTGACAGAATCTCTCAGCAGTTGCTTTTCCATAAAGGATTTTATTTCTCCTTCACTTATGAAGCTTAGTTTGGCTGGATATGAAATTCTCGGTTGAAATTTTTTTTTCTTTAAGAATGCCAAATATTGGCCCCCACTCTCTTCTGGCTTGTAGGGTTTCTGCCAAGAGATCTTCTGTGAGTCTGATGGGCTTCCCTTTGTGGGTACCCTTTCTCTCTGGCTGCCCTTAGCATTTTTTCCCTCATTTCAACCCTGTTGAACCTGATGATTATGTGTCTTGGGTTGCTCTTCTTCACAAAGACACAAAGGAATGTCTTTGTGGTGTTCTCTGTAATTCCTGAATGTGAATGTTGGCTTTCCTTGCTAGGTGGGAGAAGTTCTCCTGGATAATATCCTGAAGAGTGTTTTCCAACTTGGTTTCACTCTTTGTCACTTTCAGGTACACCAATAAAATGTAGACCTAGTCTTTTCACTTAATCCCATATTTCTTGGAGGCTTTGTTTATTTCTTCATTTCTTTTTACTCTTTTTTCTCTAATCTTGTCTTCTCACTTTATTTCCTTTAGTTGATCTTCAGTCTCTGATATCTGTTTTTCTGCTTGATTGATTTGGGTATTGAAACTTGTATATGCTTCATGAAGTTCTCATGCTATTTTTTTCAGCTACCTCAGGTCATTTATGTTCTTTTCTAAACTGGTTGTTCTAGTTAGCATTTTGTCTAACCTTTATTCAAGGTTCTTAGCTTCCTTGCACTGGGTTAGAACATACCCCTTTAACTCGGAGAAATGTGTTATTATCCATGTTTCGAAGCCTTCTTCTGTCAATTCGTCAAACTCATTCTCCATCCAGTTTTGTTCTCTTGCTGGCGAGGAATTGTGATCCCTTGGAGGAAAAGAGGCATTCTGTTTTTTGAAAATTTCAGCATTTTTGTGCTGTTTTTCTCCCATCTTTGTGAATTTATCTACCTTTGATCTTTGAAGCCAGTGACCTTTGGAATGGTTCTCTGAGTGGACATCCTTTCTGTTCGTGTTGAAACTATTTCTTTCTGTTTCTTAGTTTTCCTTCTAACAGTCAGGCCCCTTTGCTGCAGGTGTGCTGGAGTTTGCTTGAGGTCCACTCCAGACCCTGCATGCCTGGGAATCACTAGCGGGACTGTAGAACAACAAAGATTACTGCCTGTTCCTTCCTTTGGTAGTTTCATTCCAGAAGGGTACCCGCCAGATGCCAGCTAGAACTCTTCTGTATGAAGGTGTCTATCAGCCCCTACTGGGAGGTGTCTCCCAGTCAGGATACACAGGGGTCAGGGAGCCACTTAAGGAGGCAGTCTGATCCTTATCAGAGCTGGAACACTGTACTAGGAGACTCGCTGCTCTTTTCAGAGCTGCTAGGCAGGGACGTTTAAGTCTGCTGAAACTGTACCCACAATTGCCTCTTTTCGCAGGTGTTCTGTCCCAGGAGGGTGGGGGCTTTATTTATAAAGTCCCTGACAGGTTGCTGCCTTTTTTCAGAGATACCCTGCCCAGTGAGGAGGGAGTCTAGTGACACAGTCAGCCTGCAGAGGCCTTGCTGAGCTGCTGTGGGCTCTGCCCAGTTTGAACTTCCCAGTGACTTTGTTTACATGATGTTAAAACTGCCGACTCAAGCCTCAGCAATGGTGTACACCTCTTGCCCCACTGAGCTCTAATGTCCCACGTTGAGCTCAGACTGCTTTGCTGGCTGTGAGAATTTCAAGCTAGTATATCTTAGCTTGCTGGTCTTTGTGGGGATGGGACCTACCAAGCCAGAAGTAGGAACAGAGAATTCCTACTTTTCCTTTCCTTGGAAATAGATTTTTTAAATACTGCAAACATTCACTTGTTCAGACTTCTTTTCGCTGTTCTTGTTGATCCTTTACTTATCTACTTATTTTCAAAAGTACACATATTTAAAAGTATATGTGTGTATATATAAAATATATGAATGAGTTGTTTCACAAACACGTGTCTATACAAAGATAGATATATGTTTGTAAAACAAATCCCCAAATGTAGAAAAATAGAGAGGAAGAAAGTGAAGATCTCCTTTCAGGTCTTTCTGCCATCAGATGCCCCATTCCCTTATTTAGAGATGATCATTGAAATTGCCTGGTCTTTCCACACTCTCTTCTTTGCATTTGTATGCATACAGATGCACATCTGCCTACATGCAGTCAAAAAATTAAGAGGATCATCCTTTACATATTGTTTTGCAATCTTTTCTTGCCTCACAGTATGCTGTAGAAAGTTTTCCATGGCAGGAGCTATAGCTGGACCCTGTTCTTTTGTCTCCCCCTTCAACTTTTATTTTAAGTTCTGGGATACATGTGCAGGATGTGCAGGTTTGCTATATAGGTAGATGTGTGCCACGGTGGTTTGCTACACAGATCAACCCATCACCTACATATTAAGCCCAGCATCCCTTAGCTATTCTTCCTAATGCTTTCCCTCCCCTTACACCACCCTTGACAGGCCCCTGTGTGGGTTGTTCTTGTCCATGTGTCCATATGTTCTCATCATTCAGCTCCCACTTATAAGTGAGAACATGAGGTGTTTGGTTAGTTTGCTGAAGATAATGGCATCCAGCTCCATCCATGTACCTGCAAAGGAAATGATCTCATTCCTTTTTATGGCTGCATAGTATTCCATGTTGTTTATGTGCCACATTTTCTTTATCTAATCTATCATTGATGGGTATTTGGGTTGATTCCATGTCTTTGCTATTGTGAATAGTGCTGTGATGAACATAAGCATGGCTGTATCTTTATAACAGCATAATTTATATTCCTTTGGCTATATATACCCAGTAATGGGATTGCAGGGTCAAATGATGTTTCTGCCCCTGATCTTTGAGGAATAGCTACACTGTCTTCTAGAATGGTTGAACCAACAGTGTAAAAGCATCCCCTCCGCCTTTTTTTTTTTTTTTTTACAACCTCACCAACATCTGTTGTTTTTTGACTTTTTATAATAGCCATTCTGACTGGCATGAAATGGTATCTCACTGTGGTTTTGATTCATATTTCTCTAATGATCTGTGGTGTTGAACTTTTTTTTCATATGTTTGTTGGCCACATAAATGTCTTCTTTTGAGAAGTGTCTGTTCTTGTCCTTTGCCTACTTTTTAATGGGTTGTTTTATTCTTGTAAATTTGTTGACATTCCTCATAGATTCTGGATATTAGATCTTTGTCAGATGAATAGATTGCAAAATTTTTCACCCATTCTGTAGGTTGTCTGCTCACTCTGATGATAGTTTCTTTTGCTGTGCAGAAGCTCTTTAGTTTAATTAGATCCCGTTTGTCAATTTTTCCTTTTGTTGCAATTGCTTTTGGTGCTTTCATCATGAAATCTTTGCCCATGCCTAAGTCCTGAATGGTATCGACTAGATTTTCTTCCAGAGTTTTTATAGAGGAGGCATTGTATTACGTTAATTATTTACCCTGACCATGACCAAATTAAGAGCATGATATGACAGGTATGTCTTCAGGACTAGAGAAATGCCTGAGCCCTCAAACTCAGTTTATCTTTTATACCATGATCTCATTCTTTGTTTCCCAGACTCTCTAATGCTCCTCCCCTTACTTTTCTCCAAGAAGGAGTTGGCTCGTCCAGATGTTGCTATGCCCCAAATTACTGTTTATTTCATTTGTATTTGACTTATCTTATAATGGTGCAATTAGCATGCCAAGGAAGTGCTTTTGCCCAGGGGATTGGGAATAGGGACCAGAGTTCTCTCTCACTGGAACCTCCTCAGGTCTCGTTGGTTGAATCTTAATAGTGCTAATGGTTATGCTCTTTCTTGTGGTCACAAGAATATAAAACCATCTTCTCCATCTTATTTTGTTTATGCAAAGGTCTCATCGACCTTTACTTTTTTCCCCTAAAATTTTAAACTTGACTCATTTTGCCTTTATTAATCTTGCTATGTTTTTCCCTTCCACTGTAACATATTCACCTTTTGAGCAATATTGAAGCTCAACATAGATGTCATTTGTTCAAGGTCACACATATCTATATTAAGTGCCTCATTTAGATGGGCACCTTAACCAGGTGCAGAGAGCTAAAATGTCTGAATAGTGAAGTATTTTTTTCTTGATTTGCTGTAAATGCAAGCAGAAATTCATATCTGAGTGCCTTAGGCATGGAGTGAAAAGGGGACATGTTACAGAGAGTATGAAATCGTATTTAATATGAGCACTTCTCTTCCTTGGGAATCACACGAGAGTCCTCACCTGGATATACAAAGGGACCATTTTTGTGAGGCCTCAACTCTGTGATAATTTTCAGAGAAGACAGAATTTGAACTTTTAGGTAGAACTGTATTCTGCTTTCCTAGAAAATATTCTTTTTTTTTTATACCTCGGCAACGATCTATGTTCTATTGGATCTTTAATAAATATTTGATATTGTATTTTGTTCTTTGTCCCTTAGGAAAACTGATGTAGAATGCCTAAATCTACATTTAAGAGAAATTCAGTTACAAGCCTCCTTTCATTTATACATACACCCTACAACGTACTCAGTCCAATACATTTTTTCCTGTATTTTAACTCTCCATTGCCTGTTTAAGTAATGAGTTTTCTCACCCCCAACAAAGACAGAAATTAATTCAAAAGTCTTATCACTGAGTCAAAGTCAATTCCTGCAATATAACTTTGACCTCTTTATAGATTCTTGTGAGTCTCCCCCCACGAAAATCTTCCTCGATCATGAGACAAGGGGTTCATGAGGACAAGTCTTTTTACCTGAAGGGGGCTCTGCCAATGAGGAGTGCAGTAAAATGATTTGCAGTCAGATGTGAGCCATCAATGGAGATGTTGAGGGGTCTCCCGAAAATAGTATCTTCTGTTATCACCAAGCCTGCTATCACACAGAATAAGCCACTGAGGCATTTCGAATTCTGGAGCATTTCCCAGATTTATTCCATCTCTTCTGCTCTCCATTTTTGTAGGAGCTGCATAAGGTTAAGTAAACAAAAAACAAAGGCAGGCTGCCTGTGGACAATAAACTAGCGGGGGTAAGTGAAAGTTCTTGCATTTGTTGATTAGATTTGAGACACGTAATCTGTTTCCTATTAAAATATGTCCTAGCAAAAGCATTTCAGGGGGAAAACACTAGACAAAATACTAACAAAAAATGTATCTATTTTAGTTGAAATATCTACCTTATACTCTCTTGGCCAACCAGCTGTCATTAGATTGATTAATTGGAAAAGACGAACTATGTATATCATCTAGTTTCTATTTAAGTTTCAGACGTTTCTCTTTTTACTGATAATTAAAACATCATTATGAGTTTGTACTTTGAACTTTTTCCCACCTGATTGCTTGGAGCTCCTATTTTTCCACAGAAATAAGTGCCTTGATAAAAGCTAAGTTTACCATCCTCCTCCTCCTCATTGTCATATGACAGTACATTCTTACTGAGGAAAAGAACATTTTGATGTTGTAAGCATGTCTGAATTTTCATAGCTCTGCCTTGCAGTTTCCATATGTTCTAAAAATGCATGGAAATTTCCATAGGAGACGCTAACCCCACCCATCACTTTGGTGTAATGGGCAAGTAGACTTTGTAGAAACTGTTTTCCTTACAGAATTTGTAGTCAGAAAAATATATCTCATTCCCTATGGGATTTGATTAAATAGAGGAAAGGCACAACACATCTCTTACTGTATATTGACATCATGAGGTAAACTAATTATATGCATGAATCACTCTAGTACCTTCTCCCAAATCAAGCCAAAATCACAGAGGTGTCTGAATAGTTCTAACTATAGCTAACATGAGGTTTCATTTGAAGTCACTGCTGCATATTTAAAAATAAATACATTTTTTCTGGGTTGCCTCTGGAAAATATTATTAAATGAGGAAGGACCTTGTCTGGGATGAATTCCTTTGAGCAGGAGAACATATTGAAACTACTGTGAATTCTGAGTTGGTATTTTTCAAGCAAAGGTCCATCTAAACAGGGATTTCTCTTCCTAGTTCATTTAAGTGTGAGGTGTTATGATGAAGTTATTGGTATCTTGGACTATTCCATTGAAAAAAAAGAGGAGAATTAAAAACATACATGAAATTGGTTTATTTTTTGAGACTGTGTCTATACTAGAATGAGATTGACTTCATGAGCTCCATATAGAAATAACCTTCAGCTTCCTGCTGTTGAATGCAGCACCATCGTGAACTTGAGAAAGCTACGTTGCTGGCCTGACATTTTGCTGATCCCAGGCTCCCTTGCCTCAGCTGCTGGCTAGGAATCATTCCTGAGTACCCTGATCCTCTAGGACCATGAGTGATGAGCCCTCCTAAATCTAAGGACTGTCTCTCCCTGGAACACTGGACAGACTCTTACTACCATACTGGGAACCTTTAGATGTTAGCTGAAGCTTGGATTTAGGCTGACTTTCCCATGAGGAAAAGTCAGGCTTTTAGGCTTCCAATACTGGGAGCCTAAAGCAATGAGCCTCTAGTCTTGGGAGCCAGGTCTAGAGTCGATTAATTATCTCAGTCCTAGTCCTGTCTATCCCCAGTTTCCTTCTCTAACTACCAGCCTATGCCATTGACAGACATCACCAGAATTGTAACAGGCATGTACTCAGAAAAGGAAAAAAGACAAATGAACTTGAATATGAGATCTCAAACAACTAGATAGGCAAATCTCTTTTAATACTCTCCCAAAGTAAATCTAACGATTGTCTAAGTTTCATCTTCTGCTAAGAGTTTTATATATTGTGCTTCTTTCTATTTAAAATGATAATGGAGAGCTGGTTAGATTTCCAGATGTATTACAATGAGTGATTAAGTTGTAAGCCACTGGATGTCACTCTTAGGCTATGCAAGTGTAGCTAGTTGCAGTGGAGATTTTCCAGAGTAAACTAAAGGTAGAGTTCGGGGAGATAGCTGGGGTTAGAAACCAACTGAACTGTTTGAATAGGTGCATTTGCAATGTCAGTGAATTACGGCCAAATTTACCTTTAGGTTCTTATATATTTTCTTTAGACTCATTTCTCAATGGCAGTTAAACAGGACTAATAATCAGAGAAAATTCCCTTAGTGCCAAAACGCCAAAAAGACATTCATTTATCCATTCAATACCTTCATTAATCACATGCTATAAGCAGGATATTGGGCTAGTGAACTATGGAATTAGAAGAAAGGGTGAATTCATGGCACATATACCTTTAACTTACTGGAATTCAACTATGGCAAAAAAAATGAAAGAAAAATATACAAATATTGCAGAAAATTCTGTCTGTTATCTCACTCAATGAATTTGTATCTCGGAGTAATTGTACTTGTATGTCTTTCAACCTTAAACCCAGGATTTTATACTCTGCTCTGTGACAATGGAGGCAGGAGTCTAAAGACTGCCTTTCCCAGGCTTTTTTGCTATCTGGCTTCGGGTTAGGTTCTGCCAACTGGAGGCACTGGCAGGAGATTAGAGGGTGATAGGAGGGTAGAAGGGATGCTCCTTCTGATTTAAGTTCTGGTTGGAGTCCCTTCATCAGTAGCACTCAAATAGGACTCCAGCTTATTTTAGCATTTCCAGCATTAGCGCCACAGTGGCTCCTTCAGAGGTACCAATAGGAACTGTGCCACATTCCCTCTTAGAGCTCATCATTGGAGGCCAAATAGCAATTACATGACATCTGCTCAGAGGTTGCTGAACCAGCTATGTAGTGACACCTGGGTGGTTGGAGTATCTGCTCTGTGGAGACCCTTCCCCCAAGAAATGGTGTCCTGGTAACATCATTTATTCTCTTTTAATCTTCCAGCCATAAGAGTCATAGCTGCTTTCTAAACTATGAATACTAGAGGTACCTGAACAGCATTTTTTGTTAGTTTTTTTTCTTTTTGCTCTTTCAGCCCTCCAGTTGCTGTATAACTGATATCCTATATTAAATCACCTGTGTTTGAAACACTTGGCATGATTTCTGTTTCTGTTTTCCTGATGGGATCCTGACTGCAGTAAGAATGAGATGAGAGGCCAGAAACAGTGACTCACACCTGTAATCCCAGCACTTTGGAAGGCCAAGGCAGGTGGATCACCTGAGGTCAGGAGTTTCAAACGAGCCTGACCAACATGGTGAAACCCCATCTCTACTAAACATACAAAAATTATCCAGGCATGGTAACATGCACCTATAGTCCCAGCTACTCAGGAGACAGGCAGGAGAATCGCTGGAACCCAGGAGGCGGAGTCTGCAGTGAGCCAAGATCACGCCACTGCCCTGGATCCAGCCTGTGCAACAGAGTGAGATTCTGTCTCAAAAAAAAGAGATGAGAGATACCAGTGTTCTCTTTTCTTATCCAGTATCACACTTTGTGTACCTTTCATGGTTGAGACATCTTGTAACACTGATGTTTATGTTTATTTATACTTTCAAACAATATAAACCTACTCACCAGCCAACTGGTGATCAACCCAAACCAGTAGAATGTAAAGCTACATACACATAAAGAAGTTAATGATACACTGGCCAGTTCCAGCACTGGGAGAAACCTGACCATGTTGGACTTAAGGACCCATGGTTGTCAAATTGCCCCTTTCTAAGGAATTTCCAAGGATGATTTGGCCAGATAAGACTTTTGCCCTATATCACTGTAGAAACTGAAACTTTAATAATGATATCTCCATAGTATACTCTTGCAAAGGTGAGCAAGACCAGAGTTCTTGCCTTTAAAATCTCTCCAACTAATAGAAGACATAAGGTATGTACAGACAGACAATGCATGACAACACTTGATGGGAGCAAAACACACAAGGATAAACCCATTTGTTACCAGGTAACAGTGAGAGTTTATGAAATAGGTTGGAAGAGGAGGAAAATGTGATGCATGGGTTCTGCTAGAGACTTCATTCACTTGCTTGCTCAGAACAAGAAATGATCATTATTTCAATTTTAAAGACCTATTTGGAAGAAGATAATTGCCTGATCATGAAGCATTGCTTAATATATAACTTACCTTCTCCTAATATATCAATGCCATTTTATTTTCTTTTTCTCAATGAGCATGGAAAATACAGGTGTACTTCCTCAAGGACTCTCAATAATGCATTCTTTAAAGGTTTAACACATTTGTGTTAAGTTTTCATTTTGTGCTCGGTTCCTTTTTCAGTGTGTTTGTTTCCTTTTCTCCTCCTAGAAAACATGTGATTATATTCCTTAGTTTCAAGTTTTATCAGCCCCAATCCTTCATGTGTCGCTTCTGGAGTTGCTGAAATAATCACTGTCTTCAGCATAGACCACCAGGATAAGAAAGGCAAGAAAGGGACCTTCCAGCTATTGTGCTGGGACCATCAGTCCATGGGAGGTTTTGAATCTCAGTAAGTTTCATTTTACCAGGTCATCCACCTCTGAAGGTGGTGACATACTAGGGTGAGAGATGACTTAATGGTGAGGATGTCTTCACAAGTTCTCATTTGAAGTGGCTTTTGAAGAATAAGGAGTAGATGTGGGAGGGGGGCAGCAGTCAACTCTTTTCTTCCATTATTAAATCTTTTGGAATTCAGCATGTTTTTTTCAAAATATGTTTGCCTAAAATTCTTAAGGATTAATTTAAAAGAAAGGAGCAAGAAGAAAAGAAAGAGGTTTGAAGCTGAAGAGAGAATACTTGTTGCCCTTTTCCCTTATGGTTTGAACTTATTTGAACCGTTTTTGTCCTGCCATGTGACTTAGCTTGAGGAATTTTTTTGCTGGTTTTGGACAGTGATGGGGATGTAGGACAAATTTTCCCTGAAAATGCCCCTCCTATTTCTTTGAACTATATCAAAGCACACTCCATACATAATTCTGTGCATTTATTTCCTCTTCACGGCAACTCATTCCAGATGAATGTGACAACCTGATAGGTACCAATACAATGGAAGTAATAAGCTTATTTAAAACTGATTTTACTTTACCCTAAAACAAAATATCTGTGTAACTATAGCTTGCTGAGTAGAAGGTAAAGCTTTATACAAATGAAGGATCTAATGAGATACTGTTATGTTTTGAATATTGGTCTGTGAAATTG